CGGACAAAAAGAATTCTAACGTAAGCAAAACGAGTTTCAAAAATATGTAAAATATCTAAGGAGTACTGTAGTACAATTCTAAAGGAATTAAACATTATAAAAAAAAAAATCAAAAGGAATCACATACTATGTCCCCAATAACTTTAAATTTTTAATTTTTGTTATAAGTTCAAATTTAAAATTTTGAACATAATTTATATTTGTATTTTATATTACTTTGGGTTTGATTTTAATTTCAAAATGAAAAAATAAAAAATTAATATGTGACATTTGTAATTAAAATAAAAATTAATTTTATTATTTTAAGATAAAAAACCATAATAATTATATAATTATTATTTTTTATTTTGTATGTTAAAAACATATAATAAATAAACTATATTACTTTTTAGAAAAATAAATATAAATAAAAATTTTAGTAATAAGGTAGATATTTAAAGTTAAGAAATAGCAAAAGGGTTAATGTATAAAAAAAATACTTTATTACTCTAAAAAATAGTAAAATGGAAATTAATTCGAAATAAATTTTAAATTTATAAAAGACATTATTTTGAAATGAAAGAATGTTAACATCAAGGATCATCAAAATATTGAGAATGTAAACATTGAGGATCATCAAGTATTCTTAATTACAGATGTGTTTGACTTTAAAAGATTTTATTAGCCTATGGTTTTTCTTTTGGCAAAAAAAAAAAAAAAAAGTACTTACATTTTGTTTCTATTATGTGCTGAAAAAGAGACAAAAAGATATAAATCTTTGGGCCAAAGCGAGCCCATGAGTGAAAGCATCCCATCTTCAAAAATGTAAAAAAAAAGAAAAAGAAAAAGAAAAACAAAACAAAACGCTGTCGTTGTTAGCTGAAGCCTCCCCACCCATGCCTGGAAATCTGCAGATCGAGCCGAACCGGAAATTGCCGATGTGTTGAACAAAGGAAGATGCATCAACCTCTGCTTCGTTCCTCCAGAACCGCCGTTCAATCCCTCACTTTCGCGCCAAAAATCTCATCCATCCTGCTACACTCCTCTTCATTATCCCAATCTCAAGAAATCGAAACCCAGAAAGAAGAACTGAAGGAAGATCGGCGACCTTCTGTAGCCACCTCCCCAATTGGGTCTCCGATGAGAGTGCAGAAACTCATAGCATCTCAATCAGACCCTCTCCTCGCCAGAGAAATCTTCGACTACGCCTCCCGCCAACTGGGTTTTCGCCATTCATACTCTTCGTTTCTTATTCTCATCCTCAAGCTCGGCCGCTCCAAGCACTTCTCTCTCGTCGACGATCTTCTCCTTCGCCTAAAATCCGATGGGTACGAGGTGACCCCTACTCTTTTCTCGTACCTTATTAAGATTTATGATGATGCAGATTTGCCCGAGAAAGCTTTGAAGTCGTTTTACAAGATGCTTGAATTTAATTGTAAGCCTCAACCTAAACAATTGAATCGCATTCTTGAGTTACTTGTGTCTCATAGGAACTACCTCCGACCTGCTTTTGATCTTTTCAAGAGTGCTCATAGATATGGGGTTTTGCCCAATACTAAATCTTACAACATCTTGATGCGAGCCTTTTGTCTAAATGGGGATTTGAGCATTGCATACTCACTGTTCAACAAAATGTTTGAGAGAGATGTTAGGCCGGATGTGGAGTCTTATAGGATATTGATGCAAGGGCTGTGTAGGAAGAGTCAAGTGAATACCGCAGTGGACTTGTTGGAAGATATGTTGAACAAAGGGTTTGTTCCGGATTCATTGAGTTACACTACTCTGTTGAATAGTTTGTGCAGGAAGAAGAAGCTTAGGGAGGCTTACAAGCTTCTTTGTAGAATGAAAGTTAAAGGGTGCAATCCTGATATTGTGCATTATAGTACAGTGATATTGGGATTTTGTAGGGAAGGACGTGCAATGGATGCTGTTAAGGTTCTTGAGGATATGTCCTCAAATGGGTGCGTGCCAAATTTGGTGTCTTATAGGACTTTAGTTGGTGGGTTATGTGATCAGGGGCTGTTTGATGAAGCTAAAAGATTCATGGGGGAAATGTTGTCGAAGGGGTTGTCTCCACATTTTTCTATTTCACATGCTTTGATTAAGGGGTTCTGCAATGTTGGTAAGATAGAGGAAGCTGTTGAAGTGGTGGGGAAAATGCTAAAACATGGGGAAATTCCATACACAGATACTTGGGTGACAATAATCCCCAGAATTTGTGAAGAAGATGAGATGCCACGGATGAGGGAGATCTTAGAAGAGGTTATGAAGGTAGAAATAAAGCCAGATACAAGAATAGTAGAGGCAGGCGGTGCTTTGGAAGATTACTTGATCAGGAAAATAAGATCTACACATGGGAGGGCTTAAGCATTTTTCAAGATGCTCTGTTACGTTGGTTCACTAAATGGTGCCATTCATGCCTGTATTCTTGCATTGAGTCATATCAGTACTCTAAATACATGTATTTTTTATGGTAATCTTCCAAGGTTTAGCAAAT